TTTATTCGTTTGAGGAAGGCAGACTTTCTTACGATGCCATAAGCCAGTTGGACATTTATTTCAGATTTGATTTGATAATTTTTTCAGCAGATACCCGGGAACCCTCGTGTGAGTGCTATGTAGCAGGAATTCAGTCTTCTTAAGTAGTTTTTGAAAATGTTCCTTTTAGACGCAAAAAGGGGAACGGGTGTGAGTTGTCCTCTCAGTAAGTAAAATATATTATTTGGACCATTTAAATCAGCATTTTCTACCTCCTGAAATTCAAACCGATTGATACTAGTGTTTTGAGTAAGAATTTTTCAAAACAACAGGTCATCCAATTCGATAGTGAGAGGCACAAGAATGAGACAAATCAATTTATTTTTTGCCGGCGCACTGGACTACACTACAATGTCACTCATCAGGATCACGTGTCATGATCTAGCGAAACTTTCGATTTGTTGCTTAAATCAGAATCGTTTCTTTTGAATCGAAATTTTGGTCATTCTTTAGAGTCATTTTATCGAAACGAATTCCCGACATTCTCTTCATATCAGATCAATCCTGTAGTGGTGGTAACCAACAGAAGGTACCTTATTACCATGAATAATAACTGACAAATGCTGATGAGGTCATTTCCCTGAGACGCTTTGCATGCCGTCTCAGATACAGTTCAACGAAGCACAGCTTCAGTAACCGCCGCCAACTTCCAGTCTATGTATTTAGCTCTCTGTAGGGTTTTATGGATTTATATTCAGAATATTCGTCCGTTTTTGATCAGAGATCTTTGCGACTACCATGCTGGCCGTATTAAGGTCATTCTCTTGCTGTTAGCATGGCAAAAAATTTAACTATTCCGTTTTTAGAGACCCACATCATGATAGCCCCGTTTCATCCATTCTAGCTTGTACTTGGTATCCTATACTGGTTTGTCACGCCTTGTTTACATCAGCCTCGCTATCGGGCTAGTTGGTTCACGACGGTACTTCACCTAAACTGTCTTGGCTAGGGGGTAAACGCGCTACTGTTTTGTGTCCCGGCAGAGACATATCTAAAGATCTGTCAGCCCCATTTTCTTATGATCATTTAGGAATTCATGACAAGCTTTCATCGCTATTTTGGTTACTAGGGAAAAATATTCAATATGCCTCGTTGTCTTGTGCAATGAATATTTGGGTAATTGTCCCATCTTTGCTGTATGAACGGGACATGCAGTGCCATGAGGCGAGCAAGCACTGTGGAAACGAGGCAAAAGTTGTTGTACATTGAAAAACATTTCACCGTTCTCTTCCCTTGTTTTATTCTATAAATCTGCTTTCGTACTATGAATTTTTGTCACCTTCGCCGGCACAATTCGAAATTTTTGGTCCTTAAAAACCCATATGTATATATATCCATATCACTATATACTATGCACTGTGCCATACCCGTCATGACATCGAAAAGTGGTGTTCTTTTAAAACTTGAGATTTTTCGCCATGTCTAAAAACACCGCCTTTGATTCCTACTTCGTGTACGCGCAGTAGTTGATGAAAGCTAAATCGAAACCAACTGACAAGGGAACAGAGACAGGAAGACGGACGAAAATTCCTGTTCTTAACCTCAACGTCAAGAATGTTTACCTCTTGCTCGATGGCGAAAAAACCTCGCAATCTGTTTGGGATTAGCAAGATTTGTCGGGCGTGTGTCTGGTCGTTCGGCGTGCCTCGCGGCAGGTTCGAGCGATTTATTGCGCACGGCCATTGCAAGCGAGAACATAAGACCCGTGCCGTTTGCTGGACGTTTCCGCACATGATCCGGCGTTTGTTGGCCGTCCACACAACGCGACGACAGACAGAGAGCCTCGTGTTCAACAGGGTTGAAGTTGGGTGAATCACACTGTCCGCAGCCCGTACCTTACCCTCGAAGACGTGACGCCCAGAGGCGCTGTTGGCCACGGCCCAGAGACGACAGTGCTTATTTTTGCTCAGATTGCTGCTATGTTGCAGCTATTAATATAATCTTCGACTGAACGCACCATCCGATGTCAGCAACTGCAGAAGTGGTGGCGGGTGGCGTTTTAACGAAATCCTGTATCTAGTTTGTGCATGCGGCTTGGACAAGAAATACGTCACCTCGCATTCGAAATGTTGGGCTTTACCGAGTTTATATCACAGGCGTTGAGCAAAAACAGCACATGTTGAGGGCTAGTCAAAAATAACACTCCAACTGTCCAAGCCTTCTCTGACAACATAACCGAACATTTTAACACTTTATAAGCAAACTCGATCAACTTTCCCTCCGTAGATCTAATTCTGATATCAGATGATCAACCACGACCCGTTCGCGAACTAAGATCGTGAATAACCTAGGCTACCTCACAGTTCTCTGTAAATATAAAATCAACCTTTTATGTCATTTCTTGCTAATTTAGGAAAATCTCGGCTGAATATAAGAAAAACATTGCTGATAACTTTAGCTAATAAATTTATTTGATTGATTGTGTTTATGGAAGTTTTCTGTAGCAGGTATAATCCATAAAACTAAGTAATTCTTACAGAAGCCATTATTCGACCTGGAATCTGTTCGTTAGTTAATACGTAGCAATCTGTATTTCCATGCCAAATGTTTCTACCTTTCAAAACAGTTTCAAATGAAAATACGAAATGGTTGCTGTATCACAATATAGTGCAAGAAGCTCGATAAATGATAAATCACTGCTTAGATTTGGTCGTCATTAAAGAATAGTTTACAACTGTTATTACTATTGATCTTCGATCAAACTCTCTGCCTGATTTAACAGCTGCTGCCATCGACAATAATGAAGAAAGTTAGCTGAGCGTGAAGTTTAATGCGACAGAGGTTCAAACTCCAGTTAGAAAGTTTGACTCCAAAAACCTATTCGATTACGTCATGCATACTTTCTTGCATATGCATAAAGAATTGCTTTATCAGAAGCCTCATTCTGGAGCCTAGAGAAAATCTTGCGTCATCAGAGCTTCCAGCTGGTGACGAAAATGAAGATACTCACGTCGTCTGTCATTTCGATCTTATTGTACGGCGCTGAAACGACGCCAATGTTGCTCGAATTCCTTCAAAGTTTACTGAACCTGGAGGAACGGAATTTTAGGAACTCCCATCACCCATTCAACAAAGTATGAACCTCCTAATGTTTTTCTGAGTGCGGAGTAATAGTAAATGTGTAAATTGGGCAAAGCGACCGAGTGTTCCAATTATCGTAGCATCGCATGGTTGTTAAATCCCGGTAAACTTTTCTCATGGAATATCCTGGAAGGGCTGAGACAAGCAATTGATACCTGATTCCGCCTTAATTAAGCAGGCTTTCGAATGGAGTACCCCTGCTACGACCAAATCGTCGCTCTCGCAGGATCACTGACCAATATCGACAATTTCAGCTGCTTTAGTTTTCCATTTTCAACGACCTTAAGGCTCTATTTGAAAGATGAGAATTCCAACGGAAAAATGCAGTTCAAGATCCCGGAAAGATATCTTGTTAGCCTGGAGTAGGCAGCCAATATTTTTTAGTGGGGAGTGGGTTTCATGATCTGATGACCTCCATATGCGCACACAACTGCGAAAGCCGACCTCTTCCTTAATGACCCGAAATCAATGGTTACGAGAAACCCATTTGGCATAGCTGATTTAAACGTGGAACAGCGAGATGAACAGTTTCAGGAGATTGACTAATTTTTAAGTGCCTGGGCTCCGTTAACAACACATTCTTGCTAGTGTAAAATAGAAAAATTTCCATATCTTCAAGTGCTTTTCAAAAAATGTCCAATACTTGGGCTAAGAACGGTGGTATTGTTTCGACAACAATTCGACTGTACCTTTGAACGCAAATCTCCGTCTTAACCTCGAATTTATGTGAACAAGGAATTATCTCCACGCCTTATCGACGCAATCAGCTGAGAAATGAATACTAAGTATGTGACTTCCGAAAACAGAAACAGCATGGTATTCTGACCTGGTCATGCCAGAATGCACGAGGTGTACAGCCACGCTGTTGAATGTCAGTGCCCCGTGTGGCCGTATTTCGCCTTGACCCACCTGACAGCCAATTATGTAGTATGATAATCAGCACAATGTGTATCAGTGATTTTATTACCTAGCAGAGACAAGGTAAGTGCTGTAGTTGTACGACATGAAGAGAGCCGTTCTAACGAAGAAGCAAAAATGGCGGTTGAATTGTTTACAACAGCGTTGGCCTCGACCCATAATGAAGGTTAAAATTCAGGGCCACGCAATGAATGATTCCATTCCCTTCCGGTTGCAGGTTACCTCGGTAGATGGGGAGAATAAGAGAAGGAAGTTGGCTCTGTAAAACAGACTACTTGAGCATAAGCCATTTATTCCATCCCGTGAGCTTCTCACGTGGCACCTGAAACCCAGCGGATGTTG